GATGGGGGAGCCGCTGTCGGGACCGGGGGTCCCCGCTCGGTGCGGGGGAGAAGCGAGGCCCTTGGAGAGGGGAAGGAGGGTCCCTTGCCCGTGCGCGCCTTTGGGCGTGAAAATGGGCCGAACCCCCCGAATAGCTAAGGCCGCTGCAGCCTTCCGCCTCCGTTACGGTTTTCTTTCCCTTTTTGGGTTGTTTCAGGCCAGGGCCGAAGGGCCGAGGGGGGGTGAAGGGCCGAGGGCCGTGCTCTCGAGTTGCTCAGGCTTTTGCCCGCCACGAGAGCTGCGCACTGAAGCCACCTCGGTGACACACTGTTCTGCATTGCCTTCCGCCCAAAAAGGAAGTGCCAGCGTTGTTTGAACACAAACGTGCAGGGCTGCTTTTGGGGAGTTTGGAAAACACTATGTGTTAGCCAGCTTGGGTTTTCATCAGAAGGTGGATAACAAACCCGAAACGCTAAGATTCATCTTTAATGATGGAAAAATGATTTCTGAATGGCGGGTCTCCGATTCCTCTCTTCAGACCACAAATAATGCAGGAAAGCAGAGCTCTGGCAGAAGCACCTTGCTGGGGTGGCGACCGACTATGTTCCCTGATCTTAATAATGACTCGCCACGGTTGATGCTCAAGAGAATCATCCGGACCCGTAAGTGTGTCTTTTTTTTTTCAGGGAAACGGAGCAGAAAGACAGTATTTTGGTCGGGCTGAGGACAGGAGGTGTTCTGTAGCCTGTCACTCTTACCCTGTTGTGCAGGGCCAAAATTCAGACTACTGTATGACTGACAGGCTGAGAGAGTTGGGGGTGTTCAGCCTGGAGAAGAGAAGGCTCCGGGGAGACCTTATAGCACCTTCCAGTGCCTGAAGGGGCTACAAGGAAGTTGGGGGGGACTTTTTACAAGTGCCTGTAGTGACAGGACAAGGGGTAAGGGGTTTAAATAGAAAGTGGAGAGGTTTAGATTAGATATTGGGAAGAAATTCTTCCTGGAGTGGGTGGGGAAGCACTTGGGTAGGTGACCCAGAGAAGCTGTGGATGCCTCATCCCTGGAAGTGTTCAAGGCCAGGCTGGATGAGGCTTGGAGCAACCTGGTCTAGTGGAAGGTGTCCCTGCCCATGGCAGGGGGGTTGGAACTGGATGATCTTTAAGGTCCCTTCCAACCCAAACCATTCAGTGATTCCATGATTCTATGATCTATGTGAAAGAGGAGTTGCAGCAGTGGCAGCAGGGCGAGTTGATGTGATACAGCACTGTCTGAAAGACCAGGCCTTGTGCTGATGAAATCATATTCTTGAAAATCCTCTTCACTCGGTTGTCTTACCCTGGTGAGCAAAGCTCTGATCCCAGTGCTGCCTTTGGCTGTAGGATCATGTGTAAGTTGTGGAGTCACTCACCGCTGTGAGCTTCAGATCTGCCCTGCTCTGCTGCGGTACGTGGAACCCTGATGTTGCCGTCTGTCACTCTCTGCTTTGTCCATGGATGTGCCAGCCTTCTTAGGAGTAGAACATGGGTGGTTTTCACCAAGTGTTTGTTTTAACCGGTTAATAAATGCGGTTTTCAGAATGTATGCGTGTTTGACACTGTTGCACTTTGGCATTCTTCCTGGATTGAATTGTGTAAAGAAAATGTTTCGGTTTGTTGGCAGAACCGCAAGTTTCACCTCTGGCACATGAGATACCTAAACATGAAGAGACAGAAGAAGGTCAGTTAGAACTCCCATCTAAGAGGGTTTCCAGCACGTAAGCTTTTCTTTTTAATTTTCATTTTTTACACTATGGGCTACGGGTGCAGTTCCTTGATGGGACTGGGGAGCAGGATTTCTTTACTTCTGTTTCAGCCATCGGAAGTTCATTCTGTCAGGCAGGATTTTCAGAAATACCTCTCCAGCTTTAAAACCTGTGTAGGAATCTCTGGGACTGCGGGACTGAATAGTCTGTGTTTGGTGCCTTTCCATAAATGCAGACTTCTAACATATTTTTGCAGCAGAAGTGCTGGATGCAGTACATCCCCTGATAGAAACTTACTGTTAGTAGTTGTCTGTGACGTACAACACCAGGAGTTCTTGGATCTCCCCGAGGCGACAGGCCGTGTGCTGGGGTGTAATGGATGACTGTTCTGCCTCCTATTTGGAACGCAGGCTGCCCTGGCTTTTTACGGAGTCACTGCTTCTTGTTCTGGGCTGCTGGGGTAACTTCCTCCCTGTAGAGTAGTTTGGAGCTGAGCTTTGCCTGAGGCTCAGCTGCTTTTATTCATATTTAGCTTCCATTAATATTTTAAATTAATGGGCCTGGCTGAATTGGAGAGGCTGGTGTGTGGTTTGTTTACTTCTGCTTTGTTATGAAACGGGAAAACCAGCAGCGGTGGTAGGTCTTCCTTTGCTGTAGCCAGTTTTGTCACAACACTTGCATGTGGTTTTGTTTACTGCACAATAGGACACTGTTCTAAATACCCTGATTTCCTTTGACTTTGTCTCTAGAGCTAAACTTTTTGCATTGACTATAAGCAACCTTAAACAGGTCATCTAAATTGTTAGGTAAGCTTCAAACTTTGCTTTCTCTTTTTTTTTTTCGTTAATAGAGGAGGAAAATCTGAGTTTTCTGTAAGTGTGGTAGCGATTTTTTTAATTAAAACAGATGAGCAGTGTTTTATTTCCTTCTTGATTTTGCTTGTTGTAGTTCTTTAGCATCTCAATGTGCTTCTCATCAGCCTGTCCGAGCGAAAAGATGCGGTGGTTGGATCTTTGCAGGGTTGTATAGCCCATGTGTTAGCTAGATGTTGAAATGAAACATATTTTTGAAGTTTTTAAAAAGTTTAAATCCTCCTTTTGTTTAAATTCCCTCACAGCCCTCCTTTAGTTGATGTGAGCTTTCTTGGTTTTGGGGGGACGCTGCCTTCCCTAGTTGTAATAGCATCTTTCAGGATGGATGCAAAAACCAAGCAGTCTTTCCCCTGCTGCTTTACATTTGATCCCCATTACAAGCCAGCTCATCTAATGCTGAGCCTTACATTATGTTTGTAATAAGAAAAGAAACTCAGCTGCATTTCTGAGTGGGAGAGAGAGTATTTTGTAAGGGGAAAAGACCTGTAGACATGATCACCTTACTGTTCTTGCTCTGTGGAAGCCACGTTTGCTGCAGCAAAGGATACAGAATGCTCCACCCGCTGAATGCGAGCCCTTGGCTGTGGGAGGGATGCCCTGCTTCTGTTCTGCAGGACACAACGTGGAGTGCTGGCACCAGCTCACTGCCTGGGTGGGACCTTCATGAGAGGGGATTCTTGGAACTGTTTAGTCAAGGGGGAAAACAGCTCAGAAACTTACTTTCTGACCCTGATCTGGTCCCTGACTGGGATATTATCTATTCCATGTACCTGTGTGCTCTGATACCTGATGTTCCATGATGGTGGCTTTTTCATTTACGCTGTGACGACTGGCACACCTAAATTGTGTCAGGAGAAGAGAGCCACGGGGCGTGTTGGAAGCCCATGCTTTAGTCTGACCTTCCTCTGCCCTGTTGTGTGAATATGCACCCGAGTTGTGATTCGCTGTGAAACTTTGATGTAGTAGGAGGGGATGCTGTGTTCCTGCGTTTGCTGAGCTGTCCCCAATTACTTCCTCACTTCCACTGCAGCAAGGACAAACAGTTTTACTTTGCTTTGCAATGCCGTTACAGGGACCTTTCTCAGGTAGCTTAGTGATGATGATGTCCTTTGCTAAAGGCTTGGGTTGTATTGGTAGGGTGGAAATGCAACTGCCAGACCTCGCTCCTGAGGACACATCTGTCACCACATTCCACATGACTAAGAGGAGAAGGAAATTCAGCATTTCGGAGTTTGAGAAAGCAGTGGACAAACGGCTTCCCCAGCACCAAGGTAAGGCTGCAGTCAAAAATCACCTTGTTCAGCTCTGCATTTGCTGTCAACTGATTTTCATCGGCTGCAGTTTAGTTCTTAATAACTTCTCAGCTGGGCTGTTGTTGTGTGTTTGGAAGTGGGATTGCAGTATCCTGCAGAGAAGGTAAAAGCCCCTCCTGTCAAATCTAAAATAAGCCTTTTTGAGCCAAGTTACAGGCTCTGCCCTGACTGTAGATAACCGCTTGACTGTTTTTCCAACTTGGTGCTCTTTGAGGTTTGAAGTGTCTCCAGGGAAGCAATCCCTGTCTTCCCCTCCATTCCAGAAACTTGAAAATGCAACAAGTTGCATGCTTTTTGTTGCAATTCTATCACATTGGTTATAAACCTCTTGTTTGCGAAAAAAAGGGTCTTGTAGTTTTATAAAAGAAAGAATGTTTTATATTGGAATAAGTCTGCCCTTTAAACATAAATTTGCAAATACAGCTTTTGTTTTAGTTGCAGTTTAACAGAAGCAGATAAAACGCCTCACCTTGCTTTACATATCCTCTGGGCAGCAGCAGCTGGAGGTGAACTCAAGGGTGGGATCAGCTCTGGATTGCAGACACCGGTACCTCAGCTCCCAGTTACAGACGCTCTCTGCCTGGGTGCACGCTAGGTACCAAAGTCCCCCTGAAGTTTAGGGGAGATGTAGTCAGTGGAGCGTGGAGGGTGATTCAGCTCACCCTAAAGTGGACACCTGGGAACACAGGCACCGGTGTTTTAATCTGGAGCTGAACAACCCAACCCCAACTCATCTGTGGTCAAAAAAATCGGCTTGTCTTTTGCAGCCTGATAGACCAGCGCCGGCAGTGCCCCGCTCTGTGAAAGCAGAGGGGATGTCCTCTCCTGTTTTCTAGTGTGCACATGGCACTCGCTGCTCTCCAGATCTACTTTTGGAGTTTGGGACTCTGTGAGCAGAACAGGTCTGAGTTACCGGTTCACCAGCAATCTGTGGAGCATTTATCTGTACCCCTAAAACTGCCAGGTGCTTTAAAGTTTGGCTTGGGTTGCTTGACCCTAGCCTAGCGTCTTGCTGCTCATGTGGTAAGATTAACACTGAGAGAGAGGGCATGTGCCATATTCATTTGAAATAACTGTTTTATTACCCTTTCAGGAATTGCTTGTTAGAATTCTAACACGTGGTTGTGAAATGCAGACAAGGAATTGTAAAGTTAACCTGTCCTCTCATTCCATTCTCACCAAGATGGAACCACAGAGGATTATAGCATAGCTGGCTGTAGAAAAGGGAGGGTGCATGGGCTGTCCCTGGAGCCAGCTGTGCAGCGGGTAACTTCTCAGCCAGTGTAATTTCTCCACTGACATGTCACAAATTTCTTTTCCAGCTCAGTCAACGCTGGACAGCACTACTTTGGCTCGGTGAGTTGAAACTAAAATGTCTTAGGGGCTGGCTGCCCTAAGGATAGCTGCCGTGGTTCCTCACCGCTGTAGTTGCGAAGAACAGTGTAGGTACCCGGCTCCGTGATTACGCCCTGCGTTAGTGATAACAGTCACCTCCCGCTCGGGTGTTGGAATTGGAAGGCGTTACACCCCACACCTTGTGATTTTGTGAAATTGTGACTCTGCACTGCTGCCCAGCTTGGTTGGGCTTGTCGTGCTACTATGGCCTCTGTTTTGACTTGGTAGAATCATTCCTTTTTCCTTTGATTCTTATGTTTCAGTGCACAATATACCTTCGAGTATTAAATTATCTCTGCCTGTTAACTGACACAGTTAACTGTGCAGTCTTTAGTCCAGCATGCCTGGATTTTAGCAAGTCAAACAGCTTCCTTCCCTGTGTTGCCCCTGTACTCTGTGACCCTAGCCGTGGCTAGCTATTCATTTCACCTTTCTCGCTCACCCCTTGCCTGTGGCCCTGTACAGGGTGACCCTCAGGGCTGCATTCTGTGCCTCCTGCCTTTGAATCCTCTGAACCCCCTTTTTGATTGGGCCGCCTGGAGAGAGGGACAGGAGGTACCTGAGCAGGGCCAGTCTCTTTAGGATGCAAAATATGTCCATCGAGAGACATCTTTTCCCATGCACATTTCTGTCTTAGCTCCCGTCTCAAGGAAACTAGTGTGTTGGTAGCTGGACCTGCACGTAATCTTCCAGGATTTGGGGAGGGAAATTCCCCCTAACTAAGGGGTTTGTGGAATGTCTCATTATGAGTGGCACCACATCTGTAATCTGAGGGTAAAAGGGGAGTGTGTGATTTTGGAAAATCATTTCTTCCCTTCCCTTCTGACAGATCTCTTCGCATGTCTCTTGGTTCCTTGATCCCACCAGAGACGGTTGAAAAGAGAGGCCTACTCCGGAGGCCAAGAAATCGCAAAGCTATTGACATGGAAGCTTTTGAAGGCAGAGTGGAACAGAACATGCTGAAGAGAAAAGGTTTCTTTTGTGCTGTTACTTCTGTTTTGGGAGGAGGGCCTTGTGTGAGGTGATTTTTGGAAGCAGCTACTGAAGTGTGGTCTGAGGGTCACGATTTAAAGGCTACTAGCACGTTCACAGAAATCCCCTCTAATTTGGGAGGCAAGATTAGAACGAAGCTCTGTGGCCGTAGTTGCTTTGATTCTGTGCACTTCAATCTGTGCTCCACCCTGCCTAGGGATTTGTACCACAGGGACCGTATCCTGGCTGGGATCGTGTTCATAACTCTGGGTACTGGGGAGATGGTTTGGTAGGGGAAGTTAGAGGCACCAGAGTGTGGTGATGCAGCTCCAGTGCTTGATCTGTGGAGGATGAATAAAATTCAGTTGAATGACTTAAATTCTAATTATGCAAGTCCTGGTAATAAATGTGTGGGTCCCTATGACCTTGAACAGTTTTCAACTTAAAACTTGTTTTAAAACTTTATCTAAACAGAGCAGAACTACGATGTGGACTCAGGAACAGCATCTGGGATGCGAACAGCCATGCTGACAAGTGACACAGAAATCATGCTGAGTAACACGGAGCTCTTTATTCAGCCTGAGTTTGATAAGCAGAGCCAGAACAAGCTTTCTGCTCTCGAACCACAGCTGGTGGATTCAAAAACTTCAGCACAGAGAACCAAGATTTCTGACACAACCCAAGAGGAAGCAGGGTTGGTGGGCCTGGTATCCAGTGTGGGCACAAATGAGGGAAGGACCCAAAGATGTTCTGAGGACTTGATCCATGATCCTGAGGGTGTTGATAGAATGACTGATGTGTCTCCAAAAACACCTGCAGACCGGCAAGGAGATAAGCAAGGTCGTTCCCGACGGAGCAACCCAATGAAACAGCTTTCTGTGTTGGAAGAGGTGGTGGTTGGCAGTGAGTATTATGGGTTAGGGCTTGGGGCTTAGCAGGTATTATCCGAAATCGCAGAATGGTTGAAGAAGGGGCCTGTGGAGGTCATCTTATTCAACCTCTCTGCTCCAGTAGGGCTGCCTAGAGCAGGTTGCCCAGGACCATGTCCAGGCAGCTTTTATGTGTCCCCGAGGATGGAGACTCCACACTCTGGGCAACCTGTTCAGTGCTCAGTAACTCTCACAGTGATTCCAACAGAGCTCCTGTGTTCCAGCCTGTTGCTGCTTCTCCTGGAACTGGGCACCACTCAAAAGGGCCTGGCTCCATCTGCTTTACCCCTTCTCCTCAGACACTTGCACACATCTATGGGATGACACTTGCACTCATTAAGTGTGGCCAGCAGGTCGAGGGAGGGGATTCTCCCGCTCTGCTCTGGTGAGACCTCACTTGGAATACTGCATCCAGCTGTGGAGCCCTCACCATCAGAAGGATATAGACCAGTTGGAGCGAGTCCACAAAGATGCTCAGAGGGCTGGAGCCCCTCTGCCATGGGGACAGGCTGAGAGAGTTGGGCTTGTTCAGCCTGGAGAAGAGAAGGCTCTGGGGAGACCTTACTGCAGCCTTCCAGTACCTGAAGGGGCTACAAGGAAGCTGGGGGGGACTTTTTACAAGGGTCTGTAGTGACAGGACAAGGGGTAACAGGTTTAAATTGAAAGTGGGGAGGTTTAGATTGGATATCAGGAAGAAGTTCTTCCCGGAGAGGGTGGGGAGGCCCTGGAACAGGTTGTCCAGAGAAGCTGTGGATGCCCCATCCCTGGAAGTGTCCAAGGCCAGGCTGGATGAGGCTTGGAGCAACCTGGTCTAGTGGAAGGTGTCCCTGCCCATGGCAGCGGGGTTGGAACTGGGTGGTCTTTAAGGTCCCTTCCAACCCAAACCAGTCTGTGATTCTATGAAATATGGACAGCTGATGTTTGTCAGTTAGGTTTTGTGGACGATCCTTTGTGAAAAGGGCCACAGAAACGGTATTTAATACGGTTGGTGTATTCAGCACTGCTCCCGCCTGGAGAGAAGTTCTTGCCAGGGAAAGCTTAGAAAGGACTTAATGCCTGGTGAGCTGTTGCACCATACTCTGCTTCAGAGGGTTGTCTCTGCCTGGCTCGATGGGAAAAGTTGTTTCCAAAGGACAAGGGAAGGAGAGGAACAGGAAAAGAAGGTTAGTTACTCTGAAGAGCCCAAGGGTAGGCAGTTTTAGGGGAAACGGATAGATAATAGGGAGAAAAGCGTGGAGGAGGTGGAATAGGGGATAGATCAAATGTGAGGACAAGGAGGGGGAGTGAGAGCGTATCTTAAAGACGCTGGAGCGTGTGAGGCATTGATGTCAGAAGGTAAGGGCTACGCAGTTCTGCTGTGGCGCCGGAGGGTCTGACACACACCCAGACTCGGTGGCTGTAGAGCGAACGCAGGAGAAGTTGGGCCTTTCTCAGCTGTAAACCTTTGGAAGGGAACTGCATCTGCTTCCCTTGTTTACCGCTTGTGGCCGTTGCTGAGTTGTTACGCTGTGTGCGGGTGGTCGACTGGGGTTTCTTTGCAGGCAAGACTGATGATGGGGTTTTCTGTTCTGGCTGCAGAGCATCGTGCAGATGCTAGATCTTCTGAACATCTGGAGAAGAAGCTGACCAGAAAGGCAGAATCGCAGATAACTGAGGCACAGGATGCCAGAGCGGAAGCAGAAATGGCCTCTTCGGAGGAAGAGGGAGTAGCAGAAGGCAGTGTTGAACACCAAGGCTCTCCCGAAGCCGGTGAGGACAGCCTCTTGTGCTGAACACTGTCTAATGCCAAGGACCTCTCAAGCTGCGTTAGTGGCATCAGTGCTGGGAGAGAGACCTGATCACTCTTTGCGTTCTAGAATCTGGGCTGAATACTGGGAAAATATCACACTAATTTTGTCATTTTAAGCTGAAAGACTACATTCTGCTCAGATAGAACCCAAAATTGCATTGGCAACCCTGTTTAGAAATACGTAATTGCAGAAGGCATCTTCCAGATGTACTAGTGGAAGTTTCAAGAATCAGGCAGAGGTTGATAAAATGCCAAACCCTTCTGAGTGTGTTGGCAAATCAGGATCTCTCAAGTTACTTTTCCTGGATTTGCTGGGTGTCTGACGTGCTGCACTAAGGCTTTGGTAAGACTTCTTTTGAGATGAAAGTTCTTATTAACGGAGTTCAGATCAAAATTCCACTCAAATCCCTGCATTGCCAAGTGCTGGTGACCTCTGCACACTGAGGTGTAGCAGGGGGGAAAGTGGAGGATTCCTCAGTGCTTCAGCTTATCAGGTTTAGTGTGTTGACACCCTAATCCCTGAAGATAGGAATATGATAGGTGGCAGCGTTGTCAGGAATGGGAAATTGGGTTTTACTCTTATGAGTGCTCTGAAATTTTGGCAACGATACTTATTTCTGTGCTGTATTTTTCTTGGTTTGGAAATCCAGAACGTGAGATTGCCCATGAAATCGGAGCGGGAAGTCTGGAAAGGCATTCTGCTATTCCTTCCTCTGAAAAATCTGGGATGGAGCCATTAAAAGAAGCTGTTGAAGCAGCAGGTGAACTAAAGGACCAGGCTGTGATGGTGGAGTTGGACGGTGTGGAAGAGGAGTCTGCTGAGGATGAGGCTGAAGATACTGAGAGCGAAGGTGAACTAGAGGACCAGGCTGTGATGGTGGAGTTGGACGGTGTGGAAGAGGAGTCTGCTGAGGATGAGGGTGAAGATGCTGAGAGTGAAGGTAAGAACACTCTTGCAGCAGTAGCAGGAAGCAGTTGGAGGGATTTTTCTCCCTGCTATCCCGAGGTTAATGATGTCACTGTTTAGCCCATCAGATAGCGCAGTTGCAGCAGCTGCGTCGTTCAGGGTGCCGTGGAGCGGCAGCCCGAGCGCAGGCAGCATGGCACCGACCCGGGTGTGTGGAAAACTCTCCGGGCTTTTGTCTGCCGCTTCAGCGCTGCTTGCTGCAGCAGCTCTGGGAACAGCGTGGTTCCTCAATTCCTTTTTTTCCTTAGAGGTTTCCATGAAGACACCCACGTTTGTCCGTGCTGCAGCCCTCAAGACGCTGCTGCCAACACCGTGTCCTGCAAAACCTGCTGCTCCCAAGTAAGTGTAAGCTGCCTTCAGCAGTGGGTCTGGGAGTATATACCAGGGGGAGCGAGCCAAGCCCAGCTGTGCCAGCTGCTTGTGTTTCAGCAGCTGTAGCAGGGAGTAAGCAGTCCTGAAATCTCCCGTTCGTTCACCGCTTCAGCAGCTGAATGGAGAGTTCTGTCAAGTGAATGAGCAGTTGTGATGCCTCAAATCTTTCCAATGAACCTTGGTTCAATATTTTCTTGTGCTGAAGGCCAAAACCTTTTCCTAGGGGTTGTTCTCCCAGTAAAGCCACACTGGAGCTGTGGATTCCAGCGTGGGATGCAGAGGCCCTGGCAGAAGTTGGGGGATTAGGGATTATGTGGGATATTATGGGATATTATGACACATTTGTATTGGCTTTAGAAACCTAAAGCCGTATGCGGTTGCCATGTGCTGAGGATAAAATGAAGCTCACGTAGAGGCAGAAAGCGAACCTGTCCTCTGCGTTACTCCAATTTAATTAACATTTGTCACCCTTTTCACCAGAAACTTGGTGAAACCGTGTGCTTCATCAGAGCCATCATCAGGTCTCGGATGCCTGCACTCCTTCTGTGGGCTTTGCATGCATTTTCCAGTTGTTCACTGAGTGAAACTGGGGATTTCACTTCCCTCTCGTGTTACAATTTTTCATTTTTAGAATGGCAAACAGCAGTAGTTTCCTTTGGGCCTTGGCCTTGTTTAAGGGGAAAAAAACCCCCCATGAAACCACACCAAAAATCCCAGCCCAACCAACCAAAAAACCCCCAAACCCACCAAAAATCCCACAAGACAAAATGTTCATAACAGTGTGAGTGAATGGGCTGCAGACTGAGGTCAGTAGGTGGAGAGGTGGCCTGTGGATGCATCCAACTGTGCACCTGGATTGTTTAAACTGCAGGGATGCCGTAAAAACCGCATTTACGTAGCGGAGGGAACTAGATCTCAGGAAGCTGCAGCCTGGGTCGCTTCTCCCCAGGTCGTAACGCCAGGGGAACTCTTTGCAAAGCACCTTGTGCATGTGGGGGTTTTGAAGGGTTGGGAGGGAGGACGAATGAAGAGCTCGCGGTAGCTCCTACCCCTTTCAGTTCAGCATCCGGCGTGCCCAGTGTTCCCTGCCTCTCCCCACGTTTGAGGTGCGCGTTTTCAGTTTCCCCTCAGGGTCTCCCCTGCAGCCGCCGCGGGCTAAGCCAGTCCCAAAGAGCTCGGGAGCGCCGCGGAGGAACACACGTGAGCCTGAAATAGCAAGCAGTTTGATAAAGAACATATTTAGCCATTATGTGAAGATGCCAGTGACCAGAGACGCATTCACAGTCATTCAGAAATGGTAAGCAGCAGCAAACTGCTCCTTCTCCTGCTCTTCTTGGTCGTCTTCTCTTTCTTTCCTCTGCTGAAATAACAAACCTGTCAGGGTGCTGCTGGCGGGCTGACAGCCCTCCCCTTTCATCTGGGGGAGGTCTGATTAAACAAGGCTGGAAGGGTGCTGCATGCTCTTGGCCGCTGTGAGAGCGTCCATTACCAGCCCTGCCTTGCAGGAGGGTTTTGTCCCATTCAGTCTTCTCAAGCTAGCAGCACGCTCCTACCACTAGCCCTCTCCGTCAGCAGGCTGGCTCTGGAGTGTCTTCTCCCCCAGTTTTCCCTGGCAGCTCTAGTGAAACTTGCCCTACAGAAGCGGGCGAGTAGCTTAGCTGCTGTTCACACGCTCCGCAGCCTGATTTAATTTCTCTCCTTAATCCTTCTTCAGCTCTGAGAGATACTTCAAGCAGCTGAGCAATGACCTGGAAGCTTACAGCAACCATGCGAGGAGGAAGACCGTGGAGAAGGCTGACCTGGAAGTCCTCATGAGAAGGTAAAGGGGGGTTGTTGTTAACCATAGCAGTGTTTGGGGTGGTTTGATAGCCCGGTAAGATGCATTGCCAGAATATGCACTAGCAGTATTTCCACGGCAAGTGTGGCATCTTGTGACTTGCCCTGTGTGATGCCGCTTGGCGTCTGTTTGCGCTGCTGCTCCTTCCTGTGGGCTCCCTCCGCTGCCCGTCTTGTGGCTGAATTCACTTTGTTCTGTGACCGAAGCGCAAGGGCTTTGTTCTGGGCCTGGGAGCCCTCTGTGGGGCCTGACACAGTCTCCTCACCCCCCCATTTACAGTCATTACTCCAAGCTGTTATTCCTCACCTCTGCTGGAAGTTCCAGATGTGATGCTCAAGTCACCTGGGGGATTTTGCAGGCACGTCTGCTTATAGCCATGGGTTTTGTCTGGGCCTGTGTGGATGGAGCTGGTGCTGCTGCTTAAAAAGAATAATCTCTTGCTGTCCTGGTCCAGAGACTTTGATTTTCTCACCCGACAGGCACGTGCCGAAATGAGCATGAGCAGGCCGAGCGGTGCGATGGTGTAGTTGGCCAGGTTTGAGGGTTCTGTACACTTGTCCCTTTACCATTTTCTAGAGGTCTTTGCCTTCCTGCTGCCTCGTGAAGGCATCAGGAATTGTTGCTGGCTTGTGAAAAAGCCTTCCACAAGGAAAGCATGGATGAATGCTGCTTTTTGTCTTTCCACCAGACTAGGAGATGCTGACCTTTTTCATGCCAGTCAGCTACGTGCTGTACTACAAAGCTGCAGGGCCTGCGCAGCTGGAAAGTGCCAACCACCTCTGAATTGTGAATGTGAAAGATCTGCTGGGCTAATGAGCCCAGTGTTACATCCTGCCTCTAAATGGTGAAACATCCCATGGCAGGTGGGACTGTGAATTTAAAAAGCAATGAGCTTATGCCTGGCTCTAGAGCGATACGCTGAGCCTGGCTGTGAAACAGCGGGCGGCTGCAGGAAGCTGGTCTGCGGCGACTCGCCTGGTCGGCTTCCCGTGTAGGCAGTCCCGCTGCCTGCCCCCTTCGCGGCACCTAGTGCCTCACACGAGAAAGTCGCCTGCAGACAGCAGTCTGTAGCTTTTCTGTCCCCAGCAGCCGCGGCATTTCAGCTGTTAACACAGAAATGTCACCCCAAGAAAACTTGAAAACCTTTACGCTGACGTTAAGTTTGGGTGGAAAAACTTCTCTGTTTCTTCTCTTTTGAAACCAAGACAAGGGCTGGTGACAGACAAG